ACGGCGATATACGGCCGTAATAGGGCGCATACCAAAACGTTAAAATACGGCCCGTATACGGCCGTAAATTCGGCGTATACGGCCGTGTACGTCATCGTAAACGGCCGTATCTAGTCGTCGTAATGCTCGACCTGGGAATTCAATATTTTCCACATGCTGAATCGTTTTTTGGAAGATAATTGAATGCTGGTGTATAGAATTGGCTATATCTTTGATAATGTCTTGTAAATCGTCTTGAATTAATGATAATGATGAAATTTTAAGTAAAGCATCTTTTATTGTTTTCAAATAATAATCTGTTGTTGGTGATTGAATAAAATTTTGATAGAACACTAAACCTAATTCTCTTTGTTTTTCTTGACCAATATTCATTTGCTGGAATAACAATTGTAATTTTTCATCATTTAGTATATTATCAATATAAATATCCATATTCATCATCGATTTCAGGATCCGTAAAATAGCTGCACACTGTATCCGCTAAACTGCATTCATCTTCATCATAAGAGATAGCCATTTATTTGTGTTAGTGCCAATGACCTCTAAAACGTGATAGAGGGCGGTTGCAATCAACCTATGGAAGACATACGATTGTGCAGGAAAAAGAAGAGGTAAAATCACCGAAGGATTCTACTAATTGAGGCAGACTGTTGAGTAGACTAATTAATGTAGGAGTGTTTCTCTCTCGCAGCTACAGTTCAAAGCTATAATATTTTGCTTAAAATAACCTAATAGGCATTCGTATGAAAAATCGACACACAATCAAAGATATTTCTTTCTTATTCACAATCATTTAATTTGTGCGTAGGAATTAATTGCAACATGATCGTTCAATGCTAAATCATTGATGAGGTATCGGAGAGAACCAAACGTGTTTAGTTTGAGCAAAGCACTCCATTCATCTTTCTAAATTTGTATATAGCAGTGATCTGTTTCAGAGAACTTTTACCATTCATAAGCAATTGGATTCGAACTCTATTCCTTATATTTATCCAAATAATCTTGTGTTATTACTTTTTCAAATAATTATATTGATTCGTAATTTTCAAAATTTTTGTAACATTAAATATCTGTTAAATTGGACTGATTATTTTATTCAAACTCAAAATATTTTAGTGCCTTTTTTATGCACGAGTTTCTAGTTTAACAGAATTAGTATGGATTGATTAAAAATGTTATGTTATGCTTACCTTATAAAATTTGTTTTAGATATTTTCTCGGTCACAAGAATTAGAAAAGTAAAAGACTTCCATTGCTCGAAACAAATTATCAAATAAATAAAATATTTCGTGACCTCCGAATATTATTTTTTAGCAATAGAAGATCTTTACTTCTCTATGCATCAATACTATACAAAAATGATTCATTTGTGAATTAGTTCCAAAGAAAAATTTGTTGTTTTTTCAAGAATACCAGCTTCAATGATTTTAACTAATTATGATGCTGATTAACATATCTTATAATTTAAAAATTCAGTCATTTTGTTTTAGTAAGTAATATGCATGTCATGCAGTCGAATTTTCTTCATTGATTTTATCCTGGTAACTATTTTATGTAAAAGCAAGAACGAGATATATTAACAAAAAATGTGTACACCAGTTGTTTACTCGCAACGTATACGTTAATCGTATCAGAATGTATGACATTGTATACGATCATTGTATCTAGGTGTATTTCGTCGAATACGACCGTTTACGATTGTGCCTTCTCAACCTGGGAATGAAGCACTAGAAAGTGTATTCATAAAGAGCTGCTTGTTTTCTTATAAGGCATTCACAAATGAAGTCGATTAGAGATTAGGGCCAACGAAGTTGATTTTAATCTTAATTTAATTAGATTTTTTGAGTACTTCAATCATTGGTACTGATTTTGGCTATGAGATTCTGTTGAAAATTAATACAACGGCATTCAAAGTGCAAAAAAGCTGGTTCGAAACTATTGTTTCATAAGATTCAGGATGATTATTATGAATTAGATCCGATTTTCTAATTCATTCTAAATGCTCAAATCGATTAATTTTGATTTTGTTTTTCAATAGCCAATCAATTACCTACGATTAGGTGAATAGAATCGAAGAGTATCAATCAGTTTTTTCTAATCAATCTTGTTTTTATTTGCGAAAAATAACAGACTCATGTGATAAAAACGGGCGCACCGGTTTAAAAGTAAGTCGACGTACGGTCGTAATTCTGATGTCATGTACACGACAGTGTACGATGGTCGTAACGTTCCACCAGGACGGTTAATCATGGTTTTGCCGGTCCTGTTACCGACTCCCAAAACAGCGGTAAACCGGTGATTTTGTTCGGTAAACCACCGCAAATCGCTTGAATTTTCACTGATAAACGGTGGCTTACCGGCAGTGTTCGAAGCTTCATCTCGTCAATATTAGTTTAAGATTTAAAAATAATCTTTGAATTAATCTCATTTATTTCACTTAAAAAAATACAAGCAAAAAGAAAAGTTATACATAAAAATAACAAAAAATGTATATCCAAACAAATATAAAATAATTATTATAAAAACTTCAGTTAAAATAAAATGTGAAAAAATAGATCTAAAAATAAAATAAAATAAATCTAATAAATAAATGTTGAAAAATAATCCAAAACATTCAATATAAAAAAATTGATTTAAAAATATAAGAAACAAAACGTATTCTAAACTCTTTTTCAAACATTAGTTTAGAAATTAAATTGATGAATGATAATCTGTAAATTAAATAAAAAATTAATCTTAAGTAGAAGTGTATTTCGAAACATTAAAGAAAAAAATATAAATATTAAAAAATAAATATTTTAAAAGACGAAATAAATATTTAAAATTATTTATGTTTAAGAATAGTCCATTCTAAATTGAATCTTTTGCTCGTTTCTTAATTATTGGCTCTAACCACGCCAACAAGAAAAATAAGCGACAGTTCGACGAGGACATTGAATATATATTTTCTTTTATTTTTTGTTCTATAACTCTTCGCCATCTTCACTTTACTGGAAAAGCTATCGTTGAACCGCGGTTGAACACAAAAATTTGTAAACAACCGCGATATCACTTAAAACCACCGATTTTTTAAAAATGAATATCGCAATTCATCACTAAAATTGATCCGGTTTTCACAACATGGGAATATTTTTCTATTATTCGATCGAATTTCGTTCCAATTATTGGACAATAAATCATTTAGAAATATGCATCCGTTTGAACCTGCGACAAGTTTATTGAAATATGTATTTCTATAACAGAGCTACGAATAGAATCAGACAATCCCATCCCATCCCATGGGGTAGGATTGGCCATACGTTTTTCTCTTGAATAGCTCATGGAACACAACTGGAGAAAACTTTAATCTTTATCATGAGATGGGACCGAAAATGTGTCTTATGACCTAATGAAAGGTAGAATAAATCTTTCTCTCATGATAGTTTTCGTAGGACAGGCATTACTATATAGCACTATCGGTAACGATATTAGCCTCATGAGATAGGATAGAATAAATGATTTCATTGTTCAATCCCATGGGGTCGGATAGGTCAACATTAGTTGTCCTATGGGATGAATTTTTCGTCCCATTCCACTTCATTCGGAGCTCTCTTCTATAATAATCGATGTAGCAGGTATGACATTACTTTTTATTATATCTAGTTTTAGTTAAAATTTTCTTGTTTAGTCGAATATGTATAAAGTTTAATCTTGAGAAAAACAAGAAAAAAATCCGCAATATATATTTCTCATTAATACAAAACGGTATTGGTTATATTGATTAAAAATATACTATTGAGTAGAAAAGAATTTGTTTTGAAATTTGAATCTTGTTTGATGTTTTAATAATAAATGAATGTTATGTAGAAGATGACATCAACAATTGGGAGTCCCTTCAAAATTGTTCTCAACCAGTGGATGTTAACAGCGACCTACGTAATTTTTCATTTAATGACTGATATAGAGAACCTATCATAATGTATGAATCAATAGAGATTCTCATATTTTTCAACTTCACAGATGAAAAAAGAAAAAAATCAGCTTTGCACTTAGCTAAAACATCTACTAGTTTATCGGCCATGTCGAAAATCGGCAATCGTCACCCTTTCTTTACCTAGATCTCAATAGAAACTCAAATAATCTCAGTGATATATATTTGAAAATGAGAAGCATAATCTTAAAATCGAACAATTATACAAATAAGTAAAAGACTGGCTGCCGATGAACGTTTAGTATTACCAACATAACGCTTTGAAAGAATTAACAATAATAAATGTAAGTTAAACATAATAACTCCTTTTAATAGATAATTAATTGAAGTCAAAAACTGCTCCAACAATACTATCTTGAAATTGTACAGAAAAATATCAAGGCACAGTTGTGAATTTATTTGATTTTTCGATGAAATATTATAGTATTTCTAATGATTGTTATAACAGAAACTAAAGCATTTCTATGTTGTACCCACGCTTCGAAAATAACCAAAATCAACAGACGACTTTCAATATTTTTGCATGATATGTGTACTAATTAAATACGAATTCTTTTATTTTTCCAATCACTTTTTTCAATTCTATGTTTCGCTAAGCCTTTTTCCTAAGTTGAAATCTTACTAACAATTGAAATAAAAGCTCAAATTCATCTGTAGAAACAAGAATATGATAAAAAAATTGGCATTGAGTACAAACAGATAAATGATACTTTGACTTTCTGTTTACATGAAATTCTTAATAAGAGTCGCTTCAATTCGTATTTGAACTATCCGTATACATTATTTTTTCGCTGATCAAAATTTGTGTCTCGCCTAAACATTATAAAAAAAACACGCAAAAAGAACATTAGATTATCTTCTCCGTTCAACTAACACTTTCTTTCAATGTAAACTTGATGATAACAATCAAACAGTCACTTCAATGAAGTGACTTCATTCCTCTTTGTTCCTCTTTGAACGACATTGATATCGATTAATGAGAAATATTTTTGGAAAAAATTGTTTGGTTTCACAAAAACATCATGGAATTCATTTATATTTACTATGCTAATAGATCAACTGCATGCACTATTGTTTCTAGAAAGCTTCTGTGAGCGTTTCGCTCCCGGAAAAGTAAAAAATACTAATTTTTACCAGCAAGGAAATCAATTTTTTTCAAAATTTTACAGTTTATCTGCACGATTTTCTTGAAAAAATGTCTTTCAATCTGCTTCCCCCCTCCTATTCTAGAAGGTTTGGGACATTGCTGAGTGCATGATTTCTTTAAAAAGAAATCATGCATCAACAAAAAGCACTTCATTGGTTCAATTTAATATCCAATCATAATGATAGAGAAATATCCTACCAAAAATCGAATAGTTAAAATAAAGATTCTTTATGAACTAAATAAGAGATAAAAAAAAGTAGAATGCATCTTCGCCATCATGGATGGGAACATGTTGTCT